CAGCACCCTCGCACCACACATCCCCTCACAGCACCCTCACAGCACCTCACATCCCTCACAGCACCCTCACAGCACCCTTACAGCATCTCACAGGACCCTCACAGCACCCTCACAGCACCCTCACAGCACCACACAGCACCCTCACAGCATCTCCTCACAGCACCCTCACAGCACCCTCACAGCACCCCACATCCCCCACAGCACCCTCACAGCACCACACATCCCTCACAGCACCACACAGCACCCTCACAGCACCCTCACAGCACCTCACATCCCCTCACAGCACCCCACATCCCTCACAGCACCCCACATCCCCTCACAGCACCCTCACAGCACCCTCCCAGCACCTCACATCCCTCACAGCACCCTCACAGCACCCTTACAGCATCTCACAGGACCCTCACAGCACCCTCAGCACCCTCACAGCACCACACAGCACCCTCACAGCATCCTCACACTCCCTCACAGCACCCTCACAGCACCCATCCCCCCACATCCCTCCCACAGCACCACCATCCCCTCACAGCACCACACAGCACCCTCCACAGCACCCTCCACAGCACCTCACATCCCACAGCACCTCATCCCCTCACAGCACCCCTCACAGCACCACACAGCACCACACATCCCCTCACAGAACCCTCACAGCATCTCACATCCCTCAGCACCCTCACAGCCCTCACAGCACCCACATCCCTCACAGCACCCTCACAGCACCCTCACAGCACCACACATCCCCTCACAGCACCACACAGCAGCTGCATCACCACATACACAGCAGTTAAGGGGAGCCGTGTATGCTGCAAGCGTTACATACAACAGCACCAGACACGGCAGGATCACAACAAAACCGCAGCCGCAGCAGTTGGAGGCGGGGGGGCAGGGAAGAGTGGCCTGCGGTGTAGGGGAGGTCGAACAGGGTCGCTAAGGGGCTGATTGCAGGATGTTGATTGTAACTCCTCCTCCCCAACCTTCCTCCCCAACCTATCTTTCCAACCTTCCTCCTTCCTCCCCAACCCTATCTTTCTAACTTTCCTCCCCAACCTTCCTCCCAGCCTACCTCCCAACCTTACTCCCATCTTCCTTCCTCCAACCTTCCTCCAACCTACCTCCCCAACCTACCTCCCAACCTTCCTCCCCAACCTCCCTACCCACCTCCCCAACCTTCCTCCAACCTACCTCCCCACCTTCCAACCTTCCCCAATCTACCTCCCCAACCTACCTCCCCAACCTACCTCCCAACCTACCTCCCCCAACCTTCCTCCAACTTCCCCAACCTGTCTCCCAGCCTACCTCCCAACCTACCTCCCCAGCCTACCTCCCCAACCTACCTCCCCATCCTACCTTCCCAACCTTCCTCCCCAACCTACCTCCCATCCTACCTTCCCAACCTTCCTCCCCAACCTACCTCCCCAACCTTCCTCCAACCTTCCCCCCAACCTGTGTCTCCCCAGCCTACCTCCCAACCTACCTCCCCAACCTGTCCTCCCCAACCTACCTCCCCATCCTACCTTCCCAACCTTCCTCCCAACCCCTGCCTCCCAGCCTACCTCCCAAACCTACCTCCCCAACCTTCCTCCAACCTTCCCCAACCTGTCTCCCAGCCTACCTCCCCAACCTACCTCAGCCTACCTCCCCAACCTACCTCCCCAGCCTGCCTCCCCAGCCTACCTCCCCATCCTACCTTCCCAGCCTTCCCCCAACCCTACCTCCCCATCCTACCGCCCCAACCTTCCTCCCCAACCTACCTCCCCAGCCTACCTCCCAAACCTACCTCCCCAACCTTCCTCCAACCTTCCCCAACCTGTCTCCCCAGCCTACCTCCCAACCTACCTCCCAGCCTACCTCCCAACCTGCCTCCCCATCCTCCTTCCCAACCTTCCCCAACCCTGCCTCCCCAGCCTACCTCCCAAACCTACCTCCCAACCTACCTCCCCAACCTTCCTCAACCTTCCCCAAACCTACCTCCCCAGCCTACCTCCCAAACCTTCCTCCCAACCTCACCTCCCAACCCCTCCCAACCTACCTCCCCAACCTTCCAACCTTCCCCCCAATCACACTCCCCCAACTGCCTCCACATCTCCTCCCCCAACCTACCTCCCCAACCTACACTCCCCCAACCTTCCTCCAACCTTCCCCACTGTATACAGCCTACCTCCAACCTACCTCCAGCCTACTTCCCCAACCTACCTCCCCATCCTACCTTCCCAACCTTCCTCCCAACCTACCTCCCCAAGCCCTGCCTCCCAAACACCACTCCCAACCTACCTCCCCAGCTTTCCTCCAACCTTCCCCAACCTGTCTCCCAGCCCTGCCTCCCAACCTCACCTCCCAGCCTACCTCCCCAACCTACCTCCCATCCTACCTTCCCAACCTTCCCCAACCTACCTCCCCAGCCTACCTCCCCAACCTTCCTCCCAGGCTACCTCCCCTAACCTACCTCCCAACCTGCCTCCCCAACTACCTCCCCACATATCTCTCCAAACCTGGGCTCTGGAAGGGAGGATGGGGAGAGGAGGTGAGGAGGAGAGAGATCAGGGAGGGAAGGATGAGGGAGAGGAGGTGAGGAGAGGAGATCAGGGAGGGAAGGATATGAGGAGAGGGAGGTGAGGGAGGAGAGAAGATCAGGGAGGGAAGGATGGAAGGGAGAGGAGAGGAGGAGAGAGAGATCAGGGAGGGAAGGATGAGAGTGAGGGAGAGGAGTTCAGGGAGGGAAGGATGAGGAGGGTAGAGGGAGGAGGGAGGATAAGAGGAAGTGACGATTTAACACTGTAATTATATAGCTTATTAGTGTGTGTGTGTGTGTGTGTGTGTGTGTGTGTGTTGGAGGTGTGTCAATAATAATAATAATAATTAACGGTTTATTGAAAAGTTCTGCAGCCAAGAAGCTGAAAATATACATTGGACATAAATGACTTATTACATACATTGGTGGTTTAATAAAAAGCCTTCATTAGAGAAAGGGTAAAGGAACATACAGTGAACATACAGATTAATGTAGGTGTTGACAGCAAAAAGCGTAGTGTAGTAACCCTCCAGATGGTGTTAGGAGGGACTCACGTATTTGTGTGGTTTCCCTCACAGATGGTGTTTGTGAGGGGCCTCACGTGGTGTAGTAATTCCCCACAGATGGTGTTATGAGGGGCCTCACGTGGGTGTATTAATTCCTCACCGATGGTGTTATGAGGGACCTGACGTGGTGTAGTAATTACCTCACAGATGGTGTTATGAGGGGCCTCACGTGGTGTAGTAATTCCCTCACAGATGGTGTTATATGAGGTGAGGTGTGGTCCCAGGCCTTCCTATCGTAGACGGATTAACACTTCGCTGGTTGTAGGGTCGGGCCGTTATCACTGGTACCTGGGACCTCAGTGTGTGAAGGTCAACTTGGGTACCACTGTTACTGTTAGTTGCTCACCGACTTAAGCACTGTTCACCACTGTTCACCTCTGTTTAACACTGGTTCCATTCCTTTCCTAAATGAAATAGTAACCGTGAACTTGTTGATATTCCGGTGGGGAGGGTTGAGAGAGGTGTTGTGCTGCTGGTTAACCCTGCTTCTCAGAGGTGTGTGTGTGTGTGTGTGTGTGTGAGTGTGTGTGTGTGTGTGTGTGTGTGTGTGTGTGTGTGTGTGTGTGTGTGTGTGTGTGTGTGTGTGTGTGGTGTGTGTGTGTGTGTGTGTGTGTGTGTGTGTGTGTGTGTGTGTGTGTGAGTGTGTGTGTGTGTGTGTGTGTGTGTGTGTGTGTGTGTGTGTGTGTGTGTGTGTGTGTGTGTGTGTGTGTGTGTGTGTGTGTGTGTGTGTGTGTGTGTGTGGGAGTGTGTGTGTGTGTGTGAGTGTGTGTGTGTGTGTGTGTGTGTGTGTGTGTGTGTGTGTGTGTGTGTGTGTGTGTTGTGTGTGTGTGTGTGTGTGTGTGTGTGTGTGTGTGTGTGTGTGTGTGTGTGTTGTGTGTGTGTGTGTGTGTGTGTGTGTGTGTGTGTGTGTGTGTGTGTGTATGTGTATGTGTGTGAGAGTTGTGTGTGTGTGTGTGTGTGTGTGTGTGTGTGTGTGTGGTGTGTGTGTGTGTGTGTGTGTGTGTTTATTATCCCATTCCTATCATTATACATACTTTAAACTTAACAAAAAGAACAGACAGAGCAGAGACAGAGACGAGACAGAACGAGAGAGAGAGAGAGAGAGAGAGAGTGGGTGGGAGAGACCACAGATAAAAGCGGTGGAAAGAATGGTTGCAGAAAAGATTGGGGGAAGAAGAAGGGAGGGAGGAGGGAGAAGGGAGGGAGGGAGGAGGAGGGTGGTAGTGGTGGGGAGGAGGAGGGAGGAGGAGGGGGTAGTGGAGGAGGAGGAGGAGGGAGGTGGGGTGGGGGTGTTGTTAGGTTGTTGCGTGAACTGTGACCGTGGTGGTGGGGATAGTGGTAGTGGTGGTGGTTGAGGTGAGAGAGAGAGAGAGAGAGAGAGAGAGAGAGAGAGAGAGAGAAGATAGTAAATTAGCGAGAGAAACAATAAATAAATAAATAAATAAACTTGAAATAAACACCAATGGACAGTAATAAACAAACACTAATTACCAACCCACCTGTCCTTCCTCACCTGTCCTCCGTCACCTGTTCTCACCCCTGTCCTCCGTCACTGTCCCTCCTGTCCTCCCTCACCTGTCCTTCTCACCTGTCCTTCTCACACCTGTCCCTCCCTCACTCCTCCTCCCTCACCTGTCCTTCCTGCACCTTCTCCACCTGCCTCCTCTCTACGTGCTTCTCACCTGTCCTTCTCACTGTCCTGCACACCTTTTCAAGGGGCGCCCTTAATTAATTAGTGTAGTTTGCCCCCCCGACAGGTGTGGTGAACCGTCAGACTACACACTTGTTCTGAGGCAATGACCAGCGGGCGTCGACCCTTAGGGCTTACACATATATGTAAGGTAGTGGTTAGGGGTAGGGGGGGGTAGGGTAGGGCAGGGTAGGGTAGGGGTAGGGGTGGGCAGGGTAGGGTGGGTAGGAGTAGGGGCAGGGCGGTGGGCAGGGTGAGGGAGGTGGGGGTAGGGCGGGGGGTAGGGCTGGGCAGGGCAGGGGCAGGGGCAGGGTAGGGCAGGGGCCAGGGGGCAGGGTGCAGGGGTAGGGGGCAGGGGTGGGGCCAGGAGTAGGGTTAGGGTTAGGGTAGAGGGGTGGGGGTAGAGGGTAGGGTAGGGGTAGGGTACTGGGTTAGGAGTAGGGTAGGGCGTAGGGTAGGAGTAGGGGTAGGGTGGGGTGGGGTAGGGTGGGGAGTGAGGTGGGGTTAGGGTTAGGGTGGTAGGTAGGTGGGTGGGGTGGGGTAGGGTGGGGTAGGAGTAGGGTAGGGTAGGAGTAGGGTAGGGTAGGGAGGGGTAGGGGTAGGGTAGGGTGGGGGTGGGGGTAGGGTGGGGTAGGGGTAGGGTAGAGGTTAGGTTAGGGTTTGGGGGTAGGGTAGGGTAGGGGGTAGGGGTAGGGTAGGGGTAGAGATTGGGGTGAGGGTAGGGTGGGGTAGGGTGGTGGAGTTAGGGTAGGTTAGGTTTAGGGTGGGGTAGGGTGGGGTAGGGGCAGGGGGTGGGGTAGGGTAGGGTGGGGGCAAGGGTAGGATGGGGAGTAGGGTGAGGGTAGGAGTGAGGCAGGGGTGGGGTGGGGTGGGTAGGGTTAGGAGTAGGAGTAGGGTAGGATTAGGGTTGGGTGCAGGTTAGGGTAGGAGTGGGTTAGGTTAGGTTTTGGATTTAGGGTAGGGTAGGGTAGGGTTAGGTTGGGTTTAGGGGTAGGGTGGGGTAGGGTAGGGTGAGGGTAGGGTAGGGTAGGGTTAGGTTAGGTTTTAGGAGTAGGGTAGGGTGTAGGGTAGGGTGCAGGGTTGGAGTTGGGTTAGGGTAGGGTAGGGGTAGGGTGGGGTAGGGTAGGGTAGGGGTAGGGTGGTTGGGGTTTAGGGTGCAGGGTGTAGGGGTGGGGTAGGGGTAGGATAGGGTAGGATTAGGGTTAGGTTAGGTTTGGGGTAGGGTGGGGTGGGGTAGGGTAGGGAGTAGGGTAGGGTTAGGTTGGGTTTGGGGTGAGGGTAGGGGGTGGGGTAGGGTAAGTAGGGTAGGGTTAGGTTAGGTTTGGGGTAGGGTAGGGTAGGGTAGGGGTGGGGTAGGGTTAGGTTGGTTGGGGTGGGGTGGGGTGGGGTAGGGTGGGGGTTTGGGTGGGGTGGGGTGGGGTAGGGGTGGGGTGGGTGGGGTGGGGTAGGGTAGGGTTGGGTTAGGTTTAGGGTAGGGTAGGGTGGGGTAGGGTTAGGTTGGGTTTAGGGTGGGTAGGTAGGGGTTGGGTAGGGTGGGTTGGGGTTAGGTTTAGGGTGGGTAGGGGTAGGGGTGGGGTGGGGTGCAGGGGTAGGGTAGGGGGTGGGTAGGAGGGGGTAGGGTAGGGTAGGATGGGGTAGGGGTAGGGTAGGTAGGGATAGGGCTGGAGTTAGGCTTAGGGCTAGGGTAGGGGTAGGATGCAGGGTGTAGGGTGGGTAGGGGTAGGGTAGGGTGGTGGGAGTGGGGGCTAGGGTAGGGTGGGGTTAGGTTAGGTTTAGGTGGGGGTAGGGTGGGGGTAGGGTAGGGTGGGGTAGGGTGGGGTTAGGGTTAGGTTTGGGTTAGGGTGGGAGTAGGGTGGGGTAGGTGGGGTAGGTGAGGGTAGGGTAGGGTGGAGTGGGGCAGGGTAGGAGTAGGGTAGGGTAGGGTTCAGACACCATCCATTTGAACCCTCAAGTCTCATTCTGTGGTTCAGGTTAATGGTTCGGGTTATTTCGATAAACGAGAACATTTACGGCCGGATAATGTCACTCATCCGAACATATAATGTCGTTCTGGGTCCTTCCCACTCCCACTCCCTGCTACCTGCCTTACTCCACCCCCCTACCATCTCCGCCCTCCTTCCTTCTCCTCCGCCATCCTTCACCCACCACTACCACCACAACCCCCTGTTTGCACTCCACTCATGGCCTCCTCACCTTATTTACCTCACTTATACCTCCCAAATACCTCCTTATATAGCTCATGGCCTCTCTCTATTTACCTCACTTATACCTCCTAAATACCTCCCTTATATAGCTCATGGCCTCCTCACCCCTTTATTTACCACACTTGCCTCTACCTAAATACCTCCTTATATAGCTCATGGTCTCTTTTATTGAGGTAATAGGTGGTTAAATAATGGTTTGTTATTCTCGAGACAAAAGCGCCATTGTTGTTGTCATTCGCCTGAGGTCAAAACAAATGAAGGTTTGTTTATATCCGTCAGCTGATCGATGACGTAGTAACTATAGATATAGGAATAAATATAATAAACTAGTAGATATTTACACTGAGACAGAATTAGAACATAAACTTACAAGACAGATAGACAGACAGACAGGTTTGGTTAGGTTTGGTTAGGTTTGTTTGGGTTTGGTTTGGTTTGGGTTAGGTTAGGTTGGTTAGGTTTGGTTAGGTTTAGGTTTGGTTGGGTTTGGCTGGTTTAGGTTTGGTTGGTTAGGTTAGGTTTGGTTAGGTTTGGTTAGGTTAGGTTTGGTTAGAGTTTGGTTGGGTTAGTTTTGGTTGGGTTGGTTGGATTGTTAGGTTTGGTTAGGGTTAGGTTTGGTTAGGTTTGGTTGGGTTAGGTTTGGTTAGGTTTGGTTAGGTTTGGTTAGGTTGGTTGGTTAGGTTGGTTTGGTTTGGTTGGTTAGGTTAGGTTTAGGTTTGGTTTAGGTTGGTTTGGTTAGGTTTGGTTTGGTTAGGTTAGGTTGGTTTGGTTTGGTTGGGTTTAGGTTAGGTTTGGTTTGGTTAGGGTTGGTTTGGGTTTAGGTTAGGTTAGGTTGGGCTTGGCTTGCTTAGGTTGAGGTTTGGTTTGGTTTGGTTTGGTTAGGTTAGGTTAGGTTTGGTTTAGGTTTAGGTTTGGTTAGGTTTGGTTTGGTTTAGGTTGGTTTAGGCTTTGATGTTTAGGTTAGGTTAGGTTTGGTTTGGGTTAGGTTTAGGTTTGGTTAGGTTAGGTTTGGTTAGGTTAGGTTAGGGTTTGGTTTGGTTAGGTTTGGGTTAGGTTAGGTTTGGTTGGGTTTGGTTGGGTTAGGTTTGGTTAGGTTTGGTTGGGTTTGGTTAGGTTAGGTTAGGTTAGGTTTGGTTTTGGTTTGGTTGGATTTAGGTTGAGTTAGGTTTGGTTAGGTTAGGTTGTTAGGTTGTGTTAGGTTGGTTAGGTTAGGTTAGGTTTTGTTAGGTTAGGTTAGGTTAGGTTAGGTTTGGTTAGGTTAGGTTAGGTTTGGTTAGGTTAGGTTTGATTAGGTTTGGCTTGGTTGGGTTAGGTTAGGTTTGGTTTGGTTTGGTTAGGTTGAGGTTAGGTTAGGTTAGGTTAGGTTAGGTTAGGTTAGGTTTTGGTTAGGTTAGTTGGGTTTGGTTAGGTTAGGGTTTGGTTAGGTTTGGTTTGGGTTAGGTTAGGTTAGGGTTTGGTTTGGTTAGGTTAGGTTTAGGTTTGGTTTGGTTAGGTTAGGTTTGGTTAGGTTTGGTTAGGTTAGGTTTGGTTAGGTTTGGTTGGGTTAGGTTTGGTTAGGTTAGGTTTTAAGTGACGTGTTGATCCGCCTGATAAACGGTGAATGACTAGAGGATATTTTTTGCGTTACTGATATTAATTGCGTATATTCTGATAACGTGAGGAAATACGCTTTAAAAATCTCATTGCGTTATGCGTATGATATTCCTGAGTATATGTGTGTGCGTATATATATTAACTTAGGCTCCATAATATATATACGCCAAGAATCAGAGAACATGGGTTATTAAATGCGTATATCCTGATCACGAAATATCCAGAAAGTAAACTTGACGCTCATTGCGTAAATGCGTATGAGGGCCAGGGTGTTTCAGTATGTACGCCGGGACGCAGTTGTTATGGGACATTGGTGTGATATCTCTCCTGTGTGTGTGTGTGTGTGTGTGTCCTAGATATACGCATGATATCACATATACACGAATGTCACTATACGCATGACGTCACATACATACGCATGAGATCGCATACATACGCCTGACGACACAGAAAATACGCACACACACACACACATATATACGCCAAGTTTTGCGTAGCTCAAAATTTACGCCGAACCGACCATTAGGGGAGATGAATTATGGGTTGTGTTTGAGTGTTGTTGTGGGCGTAGATAAGGGTCCGGTGGGCGTGAACCTGGGCGTTAATGGAGGGTGACGACATCAGGGTACGCCGAGTTACGCAATGTCAAGACTAAGAGGGGGATGGGTGTGTGTGTGTGTGTGTGGTGGGTTGATACGCCTGGGTGGGTTTGCGTCTACTTGGTGAGTCCAGTGGGTCCAGTGGGTCCGGTGGGTCCGTGGGTCCGGTGGGTGATTGAACTGTGAAGTACTCTGGTGTATGTGTGTGTGTGTGTGTGTGTGTGTGTGTGTCTAGAGAGATGGAGAGATAGTGAGGAGAGATAGTGAGGAGAGAATGAGTGAGGGAGAGATAGTGAGGGAGAGATAGTGAAGGAGAGATAGTGAGGGGAGAGATAGTGAGGAGAGAGATAGTGAGGGAGAGAGATAGTGAGGGAGAGATAATGAGGGAGAGAAATAGTGAGGGAGAGAGATAGTGAGGAGAGATAGTGAGGGAGAGAGATGAAGTGAGGGAGAGATAGTGAGGAGAGAGATAGTGAGGAGAGATAGTGAAGGAGAGAGATAGTGAGGAGAGATAGTGAGGGAGAGATAGTGAGGGAGAGAGTGAGAGAGATAATGAGGGAGAGAGATAGTGAGGGAGAGATATGGGCACCAACACACATCCTCCCCACTATCATCTACTACCACCACCACTACTACTACCCCCTACCACCACTACTACACCTACCACCACTACTACCACCACTACCACGACCACTACCCCCCCACCTCCCTACCACCACCCACCCTACCTACCACTACACTTCCCCACCCCACACCCTCCTTTCAACCACTAGTACTACCACCACTGACCTCCCCCCACCACCACCACTACTACTCACTATCCCCTACCACCACTAACCACCACTACTACCACCACTACCACTACCCCCCACCCCCACTACTACCCCCGCCACCACCACTACTACTACTATCCCCACCACCACCACCACTACCACCACTACCACTACCCCACCCCCCCACTACTACCCCCCCCCTCCCACCACTACTACACCCCTACCACCACCACCACTACTACTACCCCCTACCATCACCACCACTACTACTACCCCTACCACACCACTACTACTACCACCACTACTACTACCCCTAACACTACTACCACCACTACCACGATCACCACCCCCTACCACTACTACTACCCCATACCACCACTACTACCACCTACCGACCACTACCCTCCTACCACCACCACTACTACTACTCCTCCTACCACCACCAACCACCACTACTACCACCTCTACCACTACCCCACCCCACACCCCACTACTACTACCACCACAGTAC